ATTTCAGACACGCACTCATAAAACAGAACAGTAATCTTAGCAAGTTATGGGTTGCAGTTGGTTCTTGAGCTTTGTTTTCTCTTCTTAAAACACCTAATTGTTGAGTTGAAATCTGCGTATCCATAATTCATTAAAAGAAAATGAACCACCCAGCAGCATTTAATACTCTCAAAATGGTGTGTGATCACCGCCCATTTGCTCTTAGTCAGAGTCACCTCCGGTCTGACTGCAACAAGTCATTCGTTCAATCAATATTGCCTTCTTGACCTGCCATTCCCTTCTTCTTTCATCTTTCCAATTCACCCCATCTGCACCTGGCCACATTTCTGTGCATAGTTCTGTTTCCAGTCGCTGCAAGATGCACTATGTGAATTTTCAGATAGAAATGTCCATGGCCAAAGTGAGGGGCTAAAAGGACATCCCCTTGAAACTGACTTAAGAAGACAATGACTTCTGTTTACAGTAGAAATAAAGGAATCAAAAATCACAGAGGATCTTACAGGAGCTCTCCCTGATACAGAAGACGTCTTTGTATATACAAATACAATATATATGTATACAATATGTATGTATGTGTATTTTAATGGAGTCTCATTTCTGTCACCGAGGCTGGAGTGTAGTCACACAATCTCAGCTAACTGCAACCCCTGCTTCCAGGGTTCAAGCAATTATCCTGTCTCAGCCTCCCGAGTAGCTGGGACTACATGCATGCACCATCATGTCTGGCTAATTTTTGTATTTTTAGTAGAGACAGGGTTTCACCAAGTTGGTAAGGCTGGCTTTGAACTCGTGACCTCAAGTAATCTGCCCGACTCAACCTCCCAAACTGCTAGGATTATAGTCGTGAGCCACCATACCCTGTCAAACAAATATATATATATATATATATATATATACATATATATATATATATATATATATTTATGTTTATATGTTGGACACAGGCATTTCCCCAAACATGTTGTGATCATCTTCTTGGAGGGCCCCTTGAGGACATTCTCACATAAACCTCCGTTGCAGTAGTAGAACTGATCACTCATCACTTTTTGTTATTAAACATTCTCTGCTATCTCACCCTAGGCAGTATAAAGCCCTGGTTCACTCTCAGGCAAAAGAGCTGACCCAGTTACGGCAGAAGTTACGGGAAGGGAGAGATGCCTCCCACTCACTGTATCAGCATTTGAAGGCCCTCCTCACTCCTGGTGACCCTGACACGTCCCAGGGTCAGGACCTCCAAGTGCAGCTGGCTGAGGGGCACAGGCTGGCAGAGCGTCTTGTCAACAAGCTCAGCCCAGGTAAGGTGGAACCAGGCCCTGATGACACAGAACCCCAGGCTTATAAAAGTCCTCAGACCTCCACACCTCCACAATGACACTTTTATGGATAATGTTTCTTTCCACTAAAAATTTATAGCCATGATATGACCAGGATTTCCTGGGCAAAAACAGGAATGGGTAACCCATGGGGTTGCAGGTCACAGGATTGCAAATTTCCCTCATTTCTTGCTGGAACATGGTCTTTGGGGCAAGAGGCAGCATCTGTCCAGTTTTAAAGGACAGGAAGGAGGCTGTGACAGGAGGAAGCTTGTTAGAGTAAAAAGAGCCCTGCACTGAGAATGAAGGTTCCCAGGCTCTATCTTCAGCAATGTCTTTAGCAACTGTGAGGAACTGATGAATTTATCCTTCCTAAGTTCCTGTCTCTAAATCTGTAAAGGCAAACCAATTGTCTCTTGCATTCAAATGTGGGAATGCTTACGACTGTATTTCATGATGAGATAAAGCCCCTTGCTGTGTGGTGTTGGAGAAGGCAATTGATGTGGGGGCATTTGGTGGTAGGAAGTGGTCTAGACTGGAGTACTCCCCATGGAGAAAGTGTCCCTGGGTAGTACTGTGGAAGTCACTTGGAGGGCCCATGATGTCCCTGATGTATGTGGGACATGAAGTCCCCGGAGTATTGTGGGACAAGTTTGTTTGTCCTGTCCTAAGAGAAAGATACAGGTTGTAATGCAAGCTGTGACAGGACGCAGAGCCTGTGCCTGGGTATCAGAACAGTGGCAGGATTGGGGAGACAGCTGCTGAGGCTTAGAGAGAGGCAGGACAGGACTCCAGTGACATGGGGAGCAAGAAGTCTTTTCAATATTTCGCCACATCTTGATGGTGACCCTCCAGGTCAGAAACACATTCCCTCATGGATCAGGAGAACATGCCAGGGCATATTTTAGAGATAAACAGGAGAGTTTTCAGTACAATGCAGACCCATACATGGATGTTCATGTCTCAGTGCACATAGGGCTAACTGTGCTTCCAGTAGGTGAAGTGGGAAATATCTGAATAGACACTTCTGTATTTGTAGAAAGTGATGAAGATGAAGATGAAGATGTTACAGATGAGGAGGTCGAGAAAGCACAGCAATCACCTGCCCCCAGGTAACACTGAATAATCAGGAGCGGGTAATGGGTGGTAAAATATGAGAAAGATCTCAGAAAGAACACAGGTGGGTGAAGGTAGTCACAGATTGTAGATACAGGATACAGACAGCTGCAGAGTGAACTGATCTCATGCACTCACCAACAAGGGAATAGCCCTGTAGACATGCTTGTCTATTGTCTTCATGGCACCAGTAAGCATGACCCTTGATATCCTCACTAGCCCTAGGGACTTCCTGCACACGCATAGGAGACCGGTCCTCCCTTGTAGTGAAGCCAGGATGAGATGGAAAGCTGCTTTCCACATGGTTGTCCTTAGACTCTTGTTAGGGAAGATAAATAATACAGAGACAACAAGCAGAGGAATTAGGAAGCACCTACCAAAGTTAAACACCAAGAAAAGTGCCCAGGAAAACTTTACATTTCACATCACAATGTTAAATTAAAAAAAAAAAAAAAAATACATGGCATGTCATCTCCAGAGCCTAACAAGGCTCAGGCCCGTGTATTCCCTTGGCCACAGCATGTTAAATACAACCCAGCTTAGACGCACGGTGTGGCAGCTCTCTTTGGTTCTGTGTGAGTGCTGTGAAGACTGTACCATACAGAAGCAGCTGAGCCTCTGCCTTCCTCAGCTCCTTTCTGTCCAGTGCAATGAACACCAGCTGCTCTCTTCCTCTCTGGTTCCCAAGGCAGCTGTGCTCTGTTGCAGATAAAGGAGGATTTCCTGTTCTGTCTTCAATGGAACCTCCCCTTTGCTTTCTGGGACCACTACCTTACGCCTCCCGTCAAAACCAGCTGGGAACTCCTGTTGTCCAATCCCTCTTGGTGTAATGTTTGTCATTTCTATCCTACCTGGCTCATCAGGGGGTTGCAGAAGACTGAGGAAAAAGAAGTCCCTCAGGACTCACTGGAGGAATGTGCTGTCCCTCGTTCAAACAGCCACGGCGCTTCTGACTTCAACCAGCCTCACAGGAGCGCCAAAGTCACATTTAAAGGAGACAAAGTCGACCCTGCTCTGGTTATAGATAGTGAATGTTCTCAGGATGAAGGGGAGGAAACTCCAAACTTTCTCCCAGGTAGCCTCGATATTCTTTGTCCCTCATACCTCTGTCTAGGCTAAGGAAGATCAATTCTGAGGACAGGCTGTATACAAACCTATTGATTTGAATTGGAAACTAGGATAAAGCTGTGGGCAGTGGCTCACATCTGTAATTTCAGCACTTTGGAAGGCCCAGGTGGGTGGATTACTTGAGTTCAAGTGTTCAAGATGAGCTTGGGGAATGTGGTGAAATCCATCTTTACAATGTATACAAAAAATTACCCAGGCAAGCTGGTTCACAACTGCAATCCCAACTACTCCAGAGCATGAGGTAGGAGAACCATCTGTGCACAGGAAAGTGCAGTGAGGCATGGCTGCACCACTGCACTCCACCCTGGGTGACAGAGAGAGACCCTGTGTCAAAAGTAAGAGAAGGAATGAAGGAAGGAAAGATGGGAGGAAGGGGGAGGGAAGGAAGGAAGAGAAGGAAAAAAGGAGGGAGGGGAGGAGAGAGGGAGGGAGGGAGGACTACAATGGAATATTTAATATGAATACAAGAGGGTCAGATAGCTTTCCAATTCTCCCAGACCCCAATATCAGGTAAGTGGACCATAGGCAGGTGGGACAAGTTCATAGCCACCTGTGTACAAAAGGTGTACAGGAGGTATCTGTCATGCCGCCTAGCTCAGTTCCTATGTCTCTTGTCATGTCTAAGGATGTAATTTGTGCCCCTGCACAATGTCAATGGAGTTTCTGTGCTTGTCCAAGGTCACTATGGAAGACAGCCTGGCCTATATATCTAACGATGTTGTTTCCCTGGTGTCATTCTTTTCAGTGTCAGTCTTGGTCTCCTTTGAGTCAGCTTGTCTTAGCTAGGCAGTCACCCTGATACCAGGAGAAATATAAATTTCTCTAACAATTCATCGACCAGAATATATAGTGAGATAAATCAGTATTGCAGCAACACTTCTGAAGAATAGTAAGGGCCACTTTTGAAGACCATGGGGAAAAGTTTTGTTTAACTGTTTGCACAGAGTTAGGTCAGAGGATATGTGATTAAGATCTATTAGATGAGGGGGATTCTGTCCCATGGATCTGGAAAGCAGGCTCATCTACTTCTGAAAAGACTCGACCTAGAGCACATTAGAATCTTGCTGTCAGAATATCACATTCTTACAATGAGGATATTGATGTCTCTGTGCTATGACTGGACACTGATTTGGTCTTATGTGAAGAGTGATTTGCTTACTGTGACCTGCTGTTCTGAATTTCTTTACAGGGAATCAAAAGGATCACGAGGAAGAGGAAGGGAAAGCTCCAGTGTCCCCCAGGTAACTGTAGATTTGTGGGCCGTTAGCTCAATAATGACACCTGGAGACCATGGATCCAGGAGAAAATCGGATGGGAAGTGATGAATAGAACAATCTCATCTATCCATCCAACTGAAAATCACCCCTTTAACAATGTTGTCTTCTTTATTGTGGTACTAAAATAGGTTTCATTTCCTATTCACTCTCAAGCATCGAAACCCACAATCAGTTGAGCCAGGTGAACTGTACAAGCTCAGGGATTTCCTGATCTCACCTTATGTCTGCCTCTTTGGCATTACCATGTTTGCAAGTATTTGATAGTAGGAAAGGGAATGAAAATAGCTCATGTCGTGCTCATAATTTTGAGAACAAGTGATGTTGAGGATAAAGGAACTCTTTCTGTGAAGATTCAAGAACCTGTATTCAATTGGCCTCTGATGCCAGTTTCAACAAAATGTGCACAGAAGGGCTGAAAGCACCGTGTCCTGGCAGTTTCCCACAGGGATCGCTCCATCTCCTTACTCTAAAGCTCATTGTCTGCACAGTGCATGAGCACATGCCGCTGTGCCTCCTGCTTGAGAGAGGGAAGGATGGTTATGTCTCTCTGAGGGCACAGTACTTGTCTTCCTCTGGCCTCACCTGTGGTCCTCCCTATGGAACCAGCTAGCTGCATTCATGTTGGTCCTGTCCAGTATTTATGCTATGTGTTCTTTACTCCAGGCTGAGCCAGGAGCTGCCAGAGGTACAGGAGCAGGAAGTCCCAGAGGACTCCTTGGATGAAATTTACTTGACGCCTTCAGTTCAACGTGACCTGTCTGACTGCCACCAGCCTTATAGCGGCACCTTGTCCTCATTGGATGATGAGCTCACATGGTCTGCTCTGGATGTAGCCTGTGAGTACTACAGCCTGAACGTCATACATCTCCAGTGTATTCCCAGGCAGCCTCCACATGTTTCCTTTCTGCATCTTGTGCTGCTGAGACAGACTGTCAATGCAGCCAGAGCATCTACACTGAGCCTGTTTTCAATCTGACTCTGGTATCCAGCTATGATCATGTACATCCAGAGGGTGAAACTTCCTCTAA